AACAGGTAAGTTCTATTACGCATAAGGCTCTATCAAAGGAAGTCCTTTCAAAGGCATATGGATGGGAAGAAACTCTAGCGAGAAATTGTTGGATATTGTGATGCAGATTACAATGGCGATCGCAACACACGATAATCAACAACTGGCTTTTGTACATTCATTGGTGGGAATCTTGTGACTTGGAAGTCGAAGAAGCAGAAAGTGGTCTCTTGTTCGAGTGCTGAAGCAGAGTATAGGGCTATGAAGAAACTCACAAACGAGTTAACATGGCTAAAGGCTTTGCTGAAGGACTTTGGGATCGAGCAGAAGACTCCAATCACCTTTCATTGTGACAATCAAGCGGCGATCCATATTGCTACAAACTCAGTGTTTCACGAGAGAACGAAGCATATAGAGACCGACTGCCACAAGACAAGAGAGAAGGTAGAAGATGGTACCATTCTCCCTTGTTACACTAAAAGCTCGGACCAATTGGCCGATATCTTCACCAAGGCAGCAAGTAACCAAGTTTGCCAATTTATCCATGGTAAACTTGGTCTTGTAGACCTCACACATCCTTGAGAAAGACTCTCCAACTTGTTGGGACAATACTCTTTTTCCCTAGGCTTGGTTTTGTCCCACGTGGTTTTCCAAGCTTAGGTTTTTAATGAGGTTGTTCTTGCGAGTGCCAAGTTTATACACAATGAGTATTGTAGTATAAACTTGAGGGGGAGTGTTAATCAAGAAGACATTTAACACTTGGGTTACTCGGGTTACTCGGGTTACAGGTTACAGGGTTAAATGTAGGTTACTTGGGTTACTCGGGTTACAGGTTACTTGGGTTACTCGGGTTACAAGGCTGAATGAGGGTGCTGTTGGTCTTTGTGCACAACCCATCTCAGACCTAGATTATGTTCTCTATATAAACGTGTGTGCCTCCTCATTGTGTGATACACATCTTTAATCAATACATTTCTATCTTTTCTCTCCATCCTTAATCATGATCCATTCAACATTTCCTACTTGAAATCTTAAATATTTACAGTATTCAACGGTGAGCCACTGCGTAGCTTTGGTATGAATGGTTTGTTTCATGTCTTCAACTGTCCGATGCCGCAAACAGATGATGATAAGAAAGCTTCGCTTGATAGATATTTCAATGCTTATGATGAAAACGTGAATTCGAGGAACGCACGGACATTTAAGAAGGGCGTTGGTAATGAAAGGTCTCATAGGACTGTTAGTACTAGTGGGATACCACTTGCTTCAATGCCCATTGTTACTGTGCCTTGTACCAGTGTTGTTGATGATGCATTACCTGACGAGCTTGCTAAGAAGCTTAAGGTATTGCTCTTTGAACTTGGCTTCTTCCTATTTATTCTTCTGCTGCCTTTTTCCATTTGTTTTCCTTCTTTTTTTCTATCTAATTTGGTTTCTGATGAACTGCGTTTTATTATCCAGGAACCTTACGCAAAAACCGATGAGAATTTGACTGCTTCGCTCGCAGCTCCTGAAATCTGTCCATTTGCTCCTGTTGACAAGTATGTCTTTATGCAGGAACTCAGTGACCTCCGTTCTGATTTCCGCTACTTCATGCAGGTACTCCTGTTCTGCCTGTACGTTGCAGGCTCTTTACTTTTGTAATACCAGTGGCTCTCTCTAGATGTCTCTTCCTTTCATCTCATTTGAAGGCATAGTATCATGTGACACCAAGGAACAAATGAAAGAGAGATCAATATGTGTTCCTGCATTTGTCTCTTTGTTCTTAATCCCCAGAAAAAAACATAGAAAGAGCTCAAACCATGTATTGATGGAATTACCTATGCACTCTTGTCGTTCGATTATGTTCTTTGACACTTGTAGTTAGCTATTCCATCTTACTGATGAAAGCAATCAAACGATTTCTTTTATACTGAAACTAGCACTGGTTTTATCTGAATTATCGAGAACGAAAGACCAGTTGTGAACCATAAAAATATCTGTATCTGGTGCTTTCATTTCCATCAATCTTAAATTATTCAACTATGCTAGATACTGCCACTGGATTTCCCTGCGAGTACAAATAGTTTCAAGCAAACGGCTGTTGTGAATTGCACTCCTAATCTCTGTTGTGAATTTTCTTTGGCAGGAAAACGGTTCCTTAATCAAGTCAATTGAAGATCAGATGAAGGAAATTAATGAAAGACATGCTTCAGCTATTCTAGAAAGGAGAACTGCAGCTGCCGATGACGAAATGGTACTCGTGGAGGCCGCTGTAAAAGCAGCAATGGCAGCTCTAAACAAACAAGGAAACAGTAATTCAGCTATATATTGCTGCGTCTGCTGCCTCTTCTTCTATAAAACAGCAGACGAATCAACCAGTTCAGCGCAGGGAAGTGGAACAGAGGGCTGCAGCCCCGCAGAAAAGGCGAGCTCGATTTGAAAACAAGCGTGCATCAGCCGAAGAGGTTGATGGATATTCCCTGATAATAGAAGGAGACTCAAGCACCGATGAGAGTGACAGTGAGACTTCAGCTTATAAGGAGACACGAGATCGCTTACTTCAGCGTGCCGATAAAATCCTTAGTGTTGCATCTGTGGTGTACTCCCAGCTTTCAAGGGTGAAGACGATATTTAAGAGGTGTGCGCGAGACTATCCATCTGCTTGTCGGAGTGCTTACAAGTGTTTGACCGTTCCTTCCATCTATTCACCTTATGTAAGACTGGAGCTTTTGAGATGGGATCCTCTTCATCAACATGTGGATTTCTCTGACATGAATTGGTAAAGTTTTCTAGCGGTTTCCAACTTTCCTAATCATCCAAACTTACATTTTCAAAACACAGTTCACCTATACAGTACCATCTCTTAGGCATTAGTCTCTTAAGCATATGATCTAAACCCATTGTTTTGTTTGTATTTTTGCAAGTGATCTGACTTGCGATTTGTGTCTCCAGGCATGGACTGCTGTTTGATTATGAGATTGGGAATGGTTTTGCACCAGTTTGTACTGATCCTAACTTTGTATCTGAGCTAGTGGAATACGTTGCGATTCCCATTTTGCACCATCGGATAGTTCGTTGCTGGGATATACTTAGCACCCGGGAGACAAGAAATGCTGTTGCTGCTACAAGCTTGGTGGCAAGTTATGTTTATTCTTCGAGTAAGGCCCTAGCGAAACTATCTGTTGCTCTTCGTGCTCGCCTTGTTGAAGCCATTACAGCTATTAGTGTATGAATTTGAATATGTTTACATCTCTTGCTAATTTCCTAATAAATCCCATTTAGTCTGTTATGAGATAACTGGACTAGTGATATCCTCTGATCTTTTTCTCTGTTCTTTAGGTTCCGACATGGGATCCTCAGGTATCAAAGGCTGTACCTAATGCTCCACAAGTTGCAGCATATAGGTTTGGGACATCAGTCCGTCTTATGAGAAATATTTGTATGTGGAAAGACATGATGGAGCTTCCGGTGTTGGAGAAGTTGGCTCTGAGTGACCTTTTGTTTGGAAAAGTTTTACCTCATGTCAGAAGCATTGCATCAGAATCAAATATGCATGATGCTGTGACAAGAACTGAAATGATCGTTGCTTCTTTGTCTGGAGTATGGACTGGACCAAGTGTCACAAGAACCCACAGGTAACTTTGATTTCTTTCAACAGTAACATCAGAAAATTTGCTTTGACTCGCACACATCAAGGAAGGTTACTCATAGTCCAGTGCTGTGAAAGGTTGTAGTTGCAGCTTGTGATGTCACATAGTATGTCCGATCAGAAACTAAGATGTGTGTGTACATATAAAAAAAAAAAAACAACGGGTCTAGGCACGTCCTGAGTATCATTCATTCGCCTATCTTCATTTGGTTTCCATGAATATCCGCATCTCAGATTAGGACATTACCACTTTATGTTGCAACTTTGCCTTGATGCATACACACATGTTTTATTTGATTTTTCAGTCGTCTGCTGCAACCCCTTGTGGATTGTACTCTGACACTTGGAAGAATACTCGAGAAAAGGCTTGCCTCGGGACTGGTCGATACGGAAACCACTGGTCTCGCCCCCAGGTTAAAGAAAATACTTGTCGAGCTCCATGAACATGGACACGCCGGGAAAATTGTCAGAGCATTCAATCTCAAGGAGGCAGTTCAAATTTAGCTGAGGCAATATTTCTATCAATGTAAGTCACACTAGTTGCACTGGAAGCGTAATAGTATAGTTCAATTATCAGTGATCAAGAATCGGTATTTACTAGACACATGCTTGAAAACTGTAAATTTTTAACGTGATGGTAAGTCCCAGTATTTTTCCAAATTTCAGCCTAACAGATCAATTTAACAAAAGAGAAAAATGATTGATATTTTATATACTGTAAATAGAATTAGAAATTGAGCAAGTGTACCAAACACCGTCCAATATACAAGAAAAAGGGTGAGAAGAGTGTTGTAGTGATTGATATGATTATATTGAGAAGAGAATCGAATTTGTCGAGTGCTCCTATCCACCATTATTTCATTATTTTTTTTATTATATATTAGAGAATCTTTGAAATCCGTCATTAAGAAAATAGAACTTTTTTTGAATTCCAAAAGATTCTATCTTCATTTTTTTTTTTTTTTTGGTGCAAAGACCAAGATTCTATCTTCATATAATTCACTTTGCACTTGAGAAAGGTTTGGCCTTGGTTTACACAAATCTCTCCCCCACACTTCTGAAACATTTTGATTTTTCAAAAATTTCACTCTATCACTACTCACACTAGCAACAAAACTCCTTACATATATTGTAATTTTAAAATTCACAAAATATAAGAAAAGAAACGTAGAGTTGTGAAATTTCTAGACGCAATAATTTTTTTTAATATGCTTTAATGATTCTAATAATAACTCTAGAAACATTTTCATAAAAGAAAAATTACTGCGTTTCAAAAATATTCACATATTAAAAAAGTTCTAAACATGTATCATTTTGATAAGGATAAAAATTAGTATTTGACAAGGAATTCGGATCGGCTGTCGATCTCCAGCTAACCGACCCGTTTTCCGTAAATGACCCAAAATTAAGGCCCAAAAGTGACCCATTATTTCCAAGTTGTTGTGTCTGAGAAAAACAAATTGGGCCGATGTTTTAAAGCTGCGGTGACGCTTGATTGAGAGAGAGGGACAAAATGGTGTCACAAATGGATGTTATTTATTTGATTTTTTTATTGGTTACACATAGTTTGGAGTGGCCAAGTGGGTGCAAACAAATTTCTAACTTTTACTGTATTTTACATTTAAAAAATGGTCGGTCGAATACTTTGTTTCGACCACAAACGTTTGTCGAATGGTCTGCAAGTCTTGTCTCAATTCTCAATGTTGCAGCATATATAGAGAGAGAGAGAGAGAGAGAGAGAAATTTCTTTGAAGAACTTTTATTATCGAATTAGCAAGTAGTTTGGTTTTTGAAGAAACTTTGCAAGTAGTTAATTACACACGATTTATAAGAGGTATGAGTTTTGAGTAATTTTGATTAAGAATTTCGAAGGTTGGAGGAATCTATCATAAACTTAACATACTCAAACATTCCAATTAAAATGTTAGAATATATGCACGGTTTCAAACGCATGTTATATAGTAAGATTTTTGTCATACGCACACACATACGAATAAGACAAGTAGTCATATGAATAGAGTCAAAGAGAATAGTATGTAGTATATGTGATACTAATTGTTGTTAACGATAGGTTCTAAGTTCCGACAATGAGGTCCCAACTTGTCTCCTCCTTATCCAACTTCTCAAGCATATTCCAATATAAATTTCTAGATACGACAAAACAAAAAGGTAATAATCCATCACCAAAAAATTATATATGCATATTTTAGGTCAAGTTCGGCAGCTATAACATCAAGCTCCACGAAGCTTCCTATTTTCAAATTCACACCGGGACTAAATAACAAACATCTGCAAAAAAAACTATAAAGTCGATTTCTCTCTTTATCATAATAACTTCAGATCAAGTCCAGATGCAATTGATCTGAATTTTATAATAGGAACAAAACATGCTTATATATATTTTCTTGATTTTTTTTGTTAAATATTAGTGGGCATATCTTTTAGTTTTAGACTTGACTGTTATCATCTAAAACGACAATAAACAAATTACATTATAAACAAATTAAGTCGTCAGTGGACGAAAATTATTTATCTAAAATCCTAAAAGATGTGTATGAAATGATACGACTTATATAACTTACATTCTTATATCAATAAAGAAATATTCTTATTGACAAAACAACAAAAAGTCATGTTTGACCAAAAATATTTCGTATTTGTATTGAGTTGGCTATTAAGGGAGTTGTACTAGTATAAGGAAAGACCATGATCTTATAAAACATTATGTTGAATCGATCATAATTAGTTTATATTATGATATAGAAAACGTAAGTGATGATCATAAAACGGGGAACAAGCCCACGTCATGCTTTCATACACACCTACCTCAACTTTCCATTTAAAGATTTTAAAATAGAAGAGGATTCATGTGCATTTTTTAACTATAATGAATCAAACTTATGAATTATAAATTAAGTCCGTAATGAAAGCGGCTTAGTAGGTACTTAATCAAGGATTAAGCTAATGGTTTAAATAAATAGTTGTCCTTAAACATTTTTTAAGATTACGGGGAAACTCAAACTAAAGCGCAAACGCTTTCTTTGCGAACTCAATAATGTTTTTATTTCTGTGAATGTATGTATAATAAAAACAATATTATTAGTCGAGAAAATGTATAATTTAGTGACTATGATTGGCGATTGCAACTTTAAATGACGTCATCCATCATGACGCAAGTTTCGCTTCGAAGAAGGAAATAATCAGCTGCGGATAAGCTCACCGCAGTTGCATCAAACTGTCCAATCACCGGTCAAAACTACAACTTCCGCCCCAAGAAATGCTGACTTATCTTTAGCAAGGTTACAATAATGTGTCAATTTCAATTATCATAAAAAAAAAAAGTAGTGGCTGCTGAGAAAATATTAAAAAAAAAAACAAAAAACCTTAGTGGTAAGTAAGGAACAAAAGCGATAAGCTACACTGAGAAACAGGAGATTACGGTTTGACATACATATAAGGTCGGTCAACAATTCACAAAGGGTTCAAGTGACGCAAGCAATGACAACATCTAAGTCGACCATCCAATGATATTGCGCCACGTAAATATCCAGCTGGCTGCGGTCAGCGTAGAAAAGAAAACGGTCGGTTTTGCCGCACGTGCTTGAAAATCCCCTCGTGTCATCTTTTTTCTGTTTTTTGTGTTTTTTTCAATTTAATTAATTAAAAATATCGGCGATTTTCGTCCTTATAAAACCTTCGTCGCCTCACTCACATATCCTCGATTACAATCCTGAGCAGACGAAGAAAACCAAAAACCCAGATCCAGCTGAAATTGAATTTTCAACCAAAGAAGAAGTATTTTTTCGAAGAGCAACAGAGAAGAAGAAGAGAATGAAGGCGGAGCTTAATTTACCGGCTGGGTTCCGATTCCATCCAACGGACGAGGAGCTTGTGAAATTCTACTTGTGCCGGAAATGTGCTTCCGAGCAGATCTCGGCTCCGGTTATCGCCGAGATTGATCTGTACAAGTTCAATCCTTGGGAGCTTCCAGGTACATCTATGGGCTTCTTCTAATCATCTTTTCGCGAAATCATTTGTCTTCGAGAATCGTTTTTAATTGAGATTTTTGTTCTTCTTTCAGACATGTCTCTGTACGGAGAAAAAGAGTGGTACTTCTTCTCACCTAGAGATCGGAAATACCCAAACGGTTCGCGTCCAAACCGGGCAGCAGGAACCGGTTATTGGAAAGCTACCGGAGCAGATAAACCCATCGGTAAACCGAAGACGTTGGGTATCAAGAAAGCACTCGTCTTCTACGCTGGGAAAGCTCCAAAAGGGATTAAGACCAATTGGATAATGCATGAGTATCGTCTCGCTAATGTCGATAGATCAGCTTCTGTTAACAAAAAGAACAACCTACGAGTAAGTTCTGCTTTATTATTAACTTATGTTTCATGTTTTCGTGAATGATGATTTAGATTATTGACTTTGTTATTGTGGGTTTTGCTATACAGCTTGATGATTGGGTTTTATGTCGAATATACAACAAGAAAGGAACCATGGAGAAGTATTTCCCCGCGGATGAGAAACCGAGGACGACGACAGTGGCTGAACAGTCATCATCGCCTTTTGATACATCGGACTCGACTTACCCGACATTGCAAGAGGATGATTCCAGCAGCTCAGGTGGTCACGGTCACGTGGTGTCACCGGACGTTTTGGAGGTTCAGAGCGAGCCTAAATGGGGAGAGCTTGAGGATGCTTTGGAAGCTTTTGATACTTCCATGTTTGGTGGTTCCATGGAGTTGTTACAGCCTGACGCTTTTGTCCCTCAGTTCTTGTATCAGTCTGATTATTTCACTTCCTTCCAGGATCCGCCAGAGCAGAAACCATTCTTGAATTGGAGTTTTGCTCCACAGGGGTAAAAACGGAAGAGATTAAAAAAAGATGTTTGCTTGTACTGTGCCAGAGAGAAGAGTCTCATCTCAACTCATCCCTGGTTCTTAGTAGTATAAAAGGATTGTAGAATGTTAATAGGTTTTAGCATCAATGCCTCATTAGCAGGCACATTCTTGTTCTTTCATGAGAAATTTATATGAAAACTAAAAATTTATATTCAAATTCTTCAAGATGTTGCACTTATGTAGATACTGATATTAAATAACAACCTAACCTTTATAAAATATCATGCTCTTCAGAAGCATATTTTTATGAGTTTCATCAGCTGAATCGAGGCGATTTCCTCACAGCTGTTGTTCCTATGTCTCGGAGTCTTTTGATTCTCGTTTTCTTGACCTGTGGTTTCTTTTGAGAACACTTCTGTCTTTCCTTCTGTTCAATCTGTTTGGAGGGTTTTTCAGATCCACTATTCCCACAAGGAGTTTTCATCTTGGGATCCTCTTTGCATAATCCTTTGCTTATACCTTCGATTTCACATCCTGGAGATTCAGAATATGGAACCACGGTTTCATCACAGGAATCGATGATCTCAGAGAGCTGGTTTTGTATCTTTTGGGCAGCCTTCCACAGTTCTCTGCAGCTTTCCTGTAGATAAAGAAAGGCGACAAAACCAAAAAGATTCAGAACCGGTTTTTCATCAGCTCAAAAACATATCAGTGACATGAAGTAACAGAGATTTTCGTCCTCACCATTGATAAAGGCAAACGAGAAACATCATCAATTTCTGAAACAGCTTTGTTCTGCTGGTCTTTCTCTTTCCACTGTTTTAGCATTTTCCTATTTTTCCAACCCCCAAAGAGAAACATGAGCATTAAAGCTAATTCAAAGATGAATAGAAAAACAGGCAACAAAAGGGATCAGAGCTTACTCTAGAGCAATGATATTGCTGCATGCTTCGGTTTGGCACTCCCAAAGTTTTTTATATGCTTCACTCGTCACTTCCACACATGCTTCTTTCGTCGTGTTAGATGTTCTGCGCAGTTTTGCTTTTCTCTCTTTTGAGCTTGTTTCCATTGCTTCTTTACCCGACTCATCCGTCAACACATCATTTTGCTTATATAGAACAGCTACTTCATATAATTCACCTCCTCTACTGTTTACTTCAATCCTAGCTTCAGTCTCACTATTTCCAACAGCCACTCCTGGTTCTTCAGCAACTCCCTCTTTCCTAGGAGTGTGAATAGTCGAATCCCTTAAATCTGCTTTGACTCCATTATCTTCTGTGTGCCTTACTTCAATGACTTTAATGGCACAACATGCTTTACGTTTGGAGCTAGTTCGGGATTTAGTCAAACTCTGTTCTTCCAACAAATCAACCTTACGATCCCCAGACTTCAAAATTTCAACACTTTCTTCCTCGTTTTGGCAAGTCATAACCTCATTCGCCACACGCTTATCATTTTTTCTCACTGTTATCACAGCGCTCTTTCTCTCATCATCAGTGGAAGCAACAGTCTTCTTCTCACCCGGGAGAGAGTAACAGTAGCTGTTGCAGTCACAAAGTATCTCTCTTTTCTCCACAAGCTTAGCTAAATGATGACTGAGCAAACTCTTGTGAGCAAATGGCAAGTTCTTATACTTCGACTTTATAAACTCAGATATAACATCTTCACTTGCGCCACCTTCTTCATTCAAATCCATAATAGCAATAAATATCATCTGAAACAAATTTGTACAGTCATAAGAACACAGCAGAGATGAGTATGTGCACATAATAGATGTCATAATTTCATACATACAGCGGAATAAGTGGGATGATCAGGAGTACGGGATAAACACAGATCCAAGAATTTCTGTTGGAAACGTTTAGTCTCAGGAAGGGAAAAGCCTCTTGATTTCGCCAAATTCACCATAAAACCTCTCAGATTCTCAACTTTTCTTTCGTGTGCCTGTCCGTCAACAAAATTTGTTCATAGTTAACATTCAGATTCAACTCACAAACAAGTGCTCAAAACTGTGGAATCAAGCTATCAAACTTATGAACAACTCAAACATTACATGATCGTACAAATTTTCCAACGAGATTTAGAGGAGCACACAGATCCATAAACTACCATCAGAAGACACCGAAGCACAGAAATAGAAAATTTTTGTAAGTAAGAAATTAGTGATTTAAAACCCAATTTGACGAAACCTAAACCACAAACACGTTGATAGATGCTGACGAACTAAGAAAAACCTTGAAAATAAGCGGACTAGTGAAAGAGCAGAGTAAATTACATATAAACGAAGAAGAGAAGAAGCAGGAGTTACAAACCATAGACATTAATATAGCAGAAGCCGCCATTGAAGCTCTGCAGTGTACGCAGAGTCGGCGCTTAAACCCTGAAGGCGACGAGGAGGGAAGTAACAAACATGCTAAAGTTATGGGACAAGCCAACCTTATATCGAATTGAACCAAATGTAACCGGAATAAACCGATCCAAATCGAGTATGTTCTTTAATTTAAACCGATCGGTTATGTTTGGTTCGAGTAAAGCTACCCTAAAGGGGAAATAAAAAGCAAAAACAGCCAACGAAGAAGACGAAAGATCAGAAATCGGAAAATGCTTCCACTAAAGCTTGCTCGATCTCTTCTTCTCCACGAGACTCTCGATCTCACTCACAATCCCGGCGATACAGACGACGGCGATGAAGACGGAGAAACCAGTATCCGGCAAATCTTAAGCTCCTACAAGCAATCAAAAACCCGATCGAGATCCGATAACAAGAGAAATTCGAAAATCCCATTGCTCTACTTCGTTCCAACACGAGAATTGATCTCAGATACATACCGATTAGCCACAATCGCGAGAGATCTAGGTATGGATTTGTACCCAACACCATCGCTCTCTCACATCATCTTCTCATTCCCGTCGCGAGAATCGAAATCGCCGTCGCCTTTCTCTTCATCCTCGCATCCTTCGACGTGGTCGTCTTCGGCTTCGTTATCGTCGTCTCTCTCGTGGTCTCTTCCAAACGACGCTGTAATGCTCTCATTCCCATCTCTCTCCGCCTCATCACTCTCCCATCTCCGATCCTTCGTCTCCCTCTCCAACGGCCTCTTCAAACTCGTCTTCTCCGCCACCACCGTAGAGACATCTTCCTCTTCCTCACCCGGATCCGTTAGCAATTGGGATTGCTGCTCCGTTTCTCTCTTCTCAAGAATCGCCAACAAGCGAATCGGATCGATGGAGAGTTTCTCGAATGCATTGGCTTCGAAAGGATGGACAATTTACAAGACGAAAGAGAATCCGTCGCCGGAATCTACTAGCAACGGAGGGAGCTCAGTGTATCTGTTTAGGAAAGTGTATACGGGTCGGATCATGGCCCGAGAAGGAAACGGGTCGTGTAGAGTAAGAGAGCTAAGACTTCCTCAATTGGATTTTAGGAACGCACCTCTACGGATTTTGCAATATTTGATGTTGATGACTGACGATATCTTCTTCCTTGCGTAAATTTGGACTTTTTCTCTGTTTTGTTTTGTTTTGTTTTGCTTCAGCTCATTGACAAAAAGATTCTATGAGGCTTGTAAATTTTACATCAAACTAAATAAATCATATAGGGTTTTAATCGATGGTTTCTAATAATGGAATTCTTGCTCTTTCTCTTTCCATTCTCCTTCTTGGATCTTAATTACGCTAAAAATAGGAAAAAAGATAGTCAGTTACACGAAGTATAACAAAATACATGGCTACACATGCCAAGTTTAAAAATATACAACCAACTACACGAACTAAATGTATTGCATGCCCACATATACCAACTATATGACGACATGTAGTCAACATCACGAACATTTTATTCCGGTACACTAATCATCAAAATTCGGCATTGACCATCGTTGACCGGTATTGACCAACAAAAATATTCAAAAATATATATTTTTATTTATTTTAAATGTTTTTAAAAAGAATTATTCTATAGAATCGGTTATGGTGTTATATAATAATAATAAAAAAACACATTCTATATTTTTAAAATATATATATTTTGTATGATAATAATAATTAGTTAATTTTTTCAATTTCAAAACTAAACTAAAAGCGAAATAAATAAAATTCCATTACAAAAAAAATTGGGTATATGACTCTTTAGTCTAAATTTTGCATGGTAAAAATATATAAAGTTTTTTGCTAAAATCAAAATCATAATACATAAAAAAGATATATAGAAAATTTTATATATTCTTTAGTCTAAATTTAATATATTTTTAAATTTTTGTAATTAAAATTATTAAAACAAATTCTCGTAATAACGCGTAAACAACAAAAAAAATCGCAATGTTTCTTTTTAATATATAGAAAATAGAAAATCTAACGATATTGATTTTAGCAAAAGCATTTGTAAAATAAGAAGTTAATGTTTTTTATTGACAATGTACAAATAAGTAATTCGCTTAATTATTTTTATTTCACTTTTATTTTAGTTTTTAAATTGAAAAAACTAACTAATTATAATAATCAATATATTAAATATATATACAAAATATATTTATTTTGAATTTAATATGTATTAGTTTTGTTTTTAATATTAAAATAAATAAAAATAATTTTTTTGCATATTTTTGTTGGTCAATGCCGGTCAACGATGGTCAACGCCGGATTTCAACGATTGGTGTACCGGAATAAGATGTTCGTGATGTTGACTACATGTCGTCATATAGTTGGTATATGTGGGCATGCAATACATTTAGTTCGTGTAGCTGGTTGTACATTTCTAAACTTGGCATGTGTAACCATGTATTCCGTTATACTTCGTGTAGCTGAATATCTTTTTTCCCCAAAAATATTACTGAAAAAAAGTAAGACAACTAGAGCCACACTTTAGCCGACAAATCCCATGTATATATAGTTGAACAAAAATTTTTTATTTTTTTTTATTTGAAATAGTGACACTAGTGTTGTGGTTTGTGATAGTCGTCTCCGTTGCATATGTTTGTTGTCTTCTGAATAATTGTTGAGTCGATTTTATTCTCTCTTCACTAGATAAGTGAAAACTAGTGGTAACCAAACGGATGTATTAGTGTTGGAACACATATTTTTTGACCCTTAGGAATGTTCAAACTATCTATTACCTTTTAATATAATATTTTAAAACAAAATTATTTAATTTCACGTTTAAATCCACGGTAAATTTATGTATAGGCATGTCCATGTAATATTTTTAATAATTGCACACAGCAATAAAGTTGCCTCTCCTTGTGCATCCCCCGTGATACAGATAGATATATTGTTTCTTCATTCTTGAGAGTTGAGACATATAATAATTATGGGCCTTTTCCTTTGGTTGAGTTAGAGTGCACCGCAGATCTAACCGGTACAGGACGGGGACGCCCCCGTGGGTAGTGTCCTGAAACAATATGCCCCAGATCGTAGTGTTGAACTTTATGGGATTAAAGTTGTATATATAGTCTACTCGAAATATTTGGTTTTGAAGCTCATAAACTTACTTGGTGGTGGTGGACTTGCAGAAGATTCATTGGCGCATCGAGAATCCGAGTACCTTGTAGTAACTAGAAAAATGTTGAACATTATACACACTGTCTAGGTTTTGTTTTCCAAAACTACCATCAAAAATATCATAAAACATTCGAGCTATACTTGGTTGAGCTTTCGCAGGATTCTTTCAAAAACAATGTGATAACTTGAACAGATAAAAATATGCATAGACGATTATATATACTAGACCTGCGTTGTAGTTGGCCTCAGAGACACCAACTTGAGAAGAAAGACATAGAAGCAAAGATAGAAGAAGAGCAATTATATATGATTTCTCTTTAGACATTGTAACTGATTTTCTTTGTTACAATGCATCAAATGGTATATAAATACAGAAACAGAATGAATCATCTGACTCACCAACTAAATTCCAAGTTAACGAAAAAAAAAAAAAATTCCAAGTTAACGCGCTTCTACCTTGTACACTGACTAACGACTTAATATCTACCTTTCTTTTGCTATCCAACAAATGGTAAAGACTTTGGAATTCTTCTCTAATTTTGATACAGGGTCTAATGGTTCCAAACACAAATAATTGTGTCTTTTAGTCTTATTGTTTAGTTAATCTTCAAAACAGAACATGAGAGTGACTAACAATAATAAACGAGATGCAAGACGAAAAAATTTGCTAAAAATAACATAATTCATATTATAATACAAAGAATAAATACGACGAAGAGATTTTTGTTGTGAAGTAACATTCAGTTTCCTTTTTTTTTTTCTGACAAGAGTAATTAATTGTACATTTTGTGTTTTGAAAGAGAATAACGTAAACGATATTGACAGAGACCAAAAAAGGAGTAACACGAGGATAAGGATGATGAAGAATTTATCACGTGGAGGAGTGAGAAGCGTGTGAACGTGAAGCCCAAATGCCAAACACAAGAAACCAGAAGACGAACAAGATTGCCCAGTAACGTGCTGGTCCGTACCTGATTCTTGTCAGCACAACCTGTTGTTCCAGTGTTTCTTAATCAATTTTCTCATTCATTCTTCAAGAACAAAGAATATGAAAATTGTACTTACGAATCTGAAGAAGATGACTACTGTTAAAGCACAGAGACCACCTAGAAGTATGTGTAGTCCGCTCTTTGCAGTTCTCTGAGCAAAAGTAAAAGATCTATCATATCAGTCTTTAACATTCTAAACACAGAGGGTTATGGGACAATCAAAGTGTGATCAATTTACATATATACGGTACCTTTCCGACACGAGGAGCAATGAGCCATGCCAAAGTAACAGTGAGTAATCCGGTTGCAAGTAGTATTCCGGTACCTTCAACCGCCCATTTGGTCGCACGGCTTTCCATAGGCAAGATATCAAAGTTTACTATACCCACAGGTTGTTCAGATGTAACCTGAGAAGAAGCCGTCCCTGCAGCAGCGGAATTACTACTATTGTTGTTGTTTGAACAATGTGGACCAAACCATAACGAAATCTCACTAAGTCGTTGCCTTCGAATGGCTGCAACTGCATCAGGATCAATTCCTGAAGAACTCGTGTTGTTGTTAACCGCGACAGGATTTGGATCTCCATCCGCTGTTCTTTCTCTTAGCGCTGCGTAATCTTTTAAAGCGATAACCACTTTGTTGAAATCAACTGTTCTTATATTCTTCGCGGTTTTTCCACATATCTCACAAACTGTTGATCCGTGGTTGACGAACCATTTCAATGCACAAGCGTAGTGTACCAAAGCAAGATCATTCTTGCAAGAACATCCGAGTTCTAGCAACTTATCTCGATGTCGCCACGCTCCCATTTCTATATCGTTATTTGCACAAACGAAAACCTCTCCATCAGGACTTATTAGTTCGATGAATCCACTAGATTTGTTAACCGAGCTTTTCTGATCAACGGCTTCTTTGCCCGCATTGCTTCTGCGAGGTTCTGAAACCGGAGGAGTAATCCCCAAAAACCCTAAAGCAGCATCTCCTCTTCTATCGGATTCTGCACACTGGCACACACGGCAAGTTGGTAAACCCGTGTCTTTGTCTGAACTGTAACGTGGTGCCTCATGCTCTTCGTTCTTGATAGGTGGAGAACCGTGATCACTGACTCCGCAATTGGTAGTCTCCAACTGATTCTCTTTACCCATCAAATCCAAAAAACAACCAAAACTGATCTTTCTTCACAACACCGCTAAAACCATTTCTCCAAATTCAAAATTCTTTATGGCTGCTTCCTTGTAAACAGTTCTACTCCATTAACATAGAAAATACCTTTTGACAACTCCAGAAAAAGTTTTCCCATCTAACAAAGGACCTTCACTGCATCTATACGAGAAGACTCAAAGCTCCTACAGTTAAAAAAACATACGAAACCACCAGATTCAGCATAATCTCAAAACCAGTATGGAAGAGAAAACAGGGGAAGCAAAACACAGAGAAAAATAGAATAAAGCTTAAAGAAGCATCAAAGAGTTTTTCTGAATCACAAGTGAGAAGAAATGTCTAACAAGAAGCGAATAAGACGTAGTAACAACAATAATCAATTAATAAGATCAAACCAACCTATCAGATCATGAGAAGAACTAGTAAAAAGCTTTCATCACAAAGAAAAGATGTATGCAAATCAAAAAGATTAAATTTTTATTAGTTGAGTAACGGAAAAGATATCAATAATGTATAAGAAGACACCATTAACTCTATAAAAAAGCTTCAAACAAGGATTCCACCAAACACCCACTGATGAATAAACTAAAGATTTTTAAACTTATAAGACAAAAAAAATCGTCACTTTCAAAAAAAGGGTTGCTCTCCTTCATGAGTTACACTGCCTTAAAACATGATAAACTCATAACACCAAACTAATACATTATTGATCTAACTTTTACACAACAAAGCAGAAAATGAGAAATAAAAAAGATCTGCAATTGCAATAAGCAGATCAAACGCATGCCAACTTTTGCAAGAATTTTGGGTTAAAACAAATCATTAATAAGTACCTCCGGAGAATCTGGGTAGAGATCGATTGATACACATGTAGTAAGAAGCGAGAATCAAGGCTCTTCAAAAAAAAAAAAAAAAACCCAATGCGTGTCTCTCTTACTATCTCTATCTTTCGGCCCCTAAACGTATGGGAAGTTGGGAATTAGGTATTGGGATTTATCAAAGGAAGAGAAAAATCTCATATCCTCCTTGTCTCTGTGAGCTTCCGTTTCCGATTTTTGTTTTTTCTTTTTGTTGGGACTGTTTTTTTATTTTCTGGGTTTCTTTTTTTTTTTTTTTGGATCTATTTTACCTTTTTTTTAGTGATAGTTCTCTTCTTTGCCACTAACACCAACCACTCGTATTCTGAAAAGTGTAGATTGTTCTTTTTCATTTGTTGGATACATAAAAAAAAGCTTTTCCAGTAAAAAGAAAACTGTTCAGATTCCCACTAAAACAGATTAAAAGCAAGCGAATCTGATCTTTGCAAAAATCTTGAATTTGACATCGCAAGAACTCACATCAGTTGTGACTTTTTTTTTCAGTGACTAGATTTTGGCACATAATTTTACTACATAGTTATGGATTAACAGAATCATCAAAATTATTTGACTATGCCCCCCTCATTTTTGTGATTTTTACCGCTATGTATTGTATATTTATTTCACCGTTTTTTTTTTTACCGCATCGCATTTTCGATAATCGCACGCTAATCTCAACCGCGTCTTTTTGGCGGTGTAAGCGTTTTGTCCTTTTATCGTAAGTCGCGTAACACTAAACGTTTGTCCAAATAGCGGAGAGCGTGGAACCCCAAACATCCATAAGAAACGAGACGTCTCAAACAATCACTTCCATCTCCGGCAAACCTTCCGGCGATATTCAAAGTCAACAATGTCCGCTCTCTCCTCCGTATCTTCTCTCTTACCCTTCTCTTGTACGTCATTCTTCTCCTCAATCCAGTTTCGTTATATTAGTTCAACTCGATTCTTGTCTCTGTTCTACTCCAATTTCCGATTGGGTTTTTCCCGGACAATTAGATAAATTTAGATTCCTATCGAAAGCTTGATTAGTAAAGATGATTTCAATTTTGTCTTTGGGTCTCCATAAAAAGATTGTCTTATTGAGAAGACCGTTTCGATTCCTTTGCTTGATTCCAAAGACTGAACATTTCTGCTTTGATGCTAGTGATATTCTAAAGATGGAAGTTTGAAACTTTTGGTGTTTTTGTCTCAATGTGTTTCAGATGGGGCAAATAGACTGACTAGTAAAGCTTCTTTAGCTTCAAGAACTTCTGGATTCAATCTCTCTTCTCGTTGGAATTCAACGAGAAACGCCCCTAGGTTGTATCTTTCGAGGGCAGTGACAAACTACAGTGGCACCACAGAGATTTCTGAGAATGAAACTGCTCCAAGGACTTACACATGGCCTGATAACAAGGTTCGTAACTCTATAGAACGATGTATGAGATTTCTAAGTTTCAATTCCGCAACTACATGAATGTAAAAGCTCTCTTTTTACAGAGACCAAGGGTGTGTATTCTAGGTGGTGGCTTTGGAGGACTGTACACAGCTTTGAGATTAGAATCGCTTGTGTGGCCTGACGACAAAAAACCTCAGGTGATGTTTCTGCTAATTAGATTCAATCTGTTTGCAAAATACTTGTGTTCTGAATACATATTTGAATGTTCTTATATTGATCAGGTGGTTCTGGTTGACCAATCCGAACGTTTTGTGTTCAAGCCGATGTTGTATGAACTTCTCTCTGGAGGTAAATTTAGTTTCTTTATGCTCAACTAATCTTTGATACTTTAGGTTTTGTGTGTTGATTTAGTGTCCGGCTCTTTTGATCTGCAGAAGTTGATGTGTGGGAGATTGCTCCCCGTTTCTCGGATTTGCTTACAAACACGGGGATCCAATTTCTCCGAGATAGAGTGAAAACATTGCTTCCTTGTGACCATTTAGGAGTGAATGGGTCTGAAAGTTCTGTTACTGGAGGAACTGTCTTGCTCGAAAGTGGTTTTAAAATTGAATACGATTGGTACTATGTTTACACAATCCCCATAAATTCAATGCAATCTATCTCATTTCTCTTGTCTACAGACTCTAATGGTGTGTGATACAACAAAACCATGCACTTAATTCAGAGATTTGGACTCATTTTCTTTCTTTTCTACAGCCAGGTTGGTTCTTGCTCTTGGCGCTGAATCTAAACTCGATGTTGTTCCCGGCGCAATGGAGTTGGCTTTCCCATTCTACACTCTTGAAGATGCTATTGTAAGAGTTAGAAGTGCCCAATCCGGTGTGCAGTTTGGATTTTTTGATTTATGAAATGTAGAAACTGCTTTGTTTGGGTTGATATGGTTTTTGCTTTGGTTCAGATTGGTTTAACCGAATTGTACACTCTTTTTTGACTAAATCGTGACTGCCACTATGATATTGCAGAGAGTTAACGAAAAGCTGAGTAAATTGGAGAGGAAGAATTTCAAAGACGGCTCTGCCATAAAAGTGGCTGTTGTTGGGTGCGGATATGCAGGAGTTGAGTTGGCTGCTACCATATCAGAGAGACTGCAAGATCGTGGAATAGTGCAGTCCATTAACGTATCAAAGGATATACTAACATCAGCCCCTAATGGGAACAGGGAGGCGGCTATGAAGGTACTTTAATGGCAATTGCATCCTCCATTTGATTAGACAGAGTAAAAGATGGTAATAGTGTCCTTTTGGATTGTGGTTAGGTCCTTACGTCTAGAAAAGTCCAATTACTTTTGGGTTATCTTGTTCAATCCATAAAGAGAGCAAGCGACTCAGAAGAAGATGAAGGATATCTGTTAGAGCTCCAGCCTGCAGAAAGAGGATTAGAGAGTCAAATTATTGAAGCGGATATAGTGTTATGGACAGTCGGTGCTAAGCCTTTGCTTACCAAACTAGAACCCTCGGGTCCCAATGTCCTTCCTTTGAATGCTAGAGGACAAGCGGAAACAGACGAGACACTCCGTGTTAAAGGACATCCACGGATTTTCGCATTAGGTGATTCGTCTTCTCTAAGAGACCCAAACGGAAAGCTTCTTCCTACAACAGCTCAGGTGAGAAAGAAAAAAGAAGCTATAAGCACTCCAGAATCTGATCACATTCATGCTTTAGAACTGAATCAGAGTGATATGGAAATAAAATTTTCAGGTTGCTTTTCAAGAAGCAGACTTTACTGGCTGGAATATATGGGCAGCCATAAATAACCGACCGTTATTACCATTCAGGTAACAATAATAGACTTTTTACTGGTCTGTGTACTGAAAACAGAACTTTAAGCTCTGTTTAATATTCTTGCAGGTTTCAGAACCTAGGTGAGATGATGACTCTTGGAAGATATGATGCTGCTATATCGCCAAGTTTCATTGAAGGGCTTACACTTGAAGGTCCAATTGGCCACGCAGCAAGAAAACTGGCGTATTTGATTAGGCTACCAACTGATGAACACCGGTTTAAGGTCGGAATCAGTTGGTTTGCTAAATCTGCTGTTGATTCAATTGCTTTACTTCAGAGCAATCTAACCAAGGTTTTGTCTGGATCTTGATCTCTGTTTGTTTTGCTCTGGAGTATAAATCGCTGCCGTATGAAAGACAAATGTGTCACTTTGTAAAATTTATTGGAAAATCATTGTATTAAATTGACTCTCTTAGACACAAAGGTCATATCAAGGATAAGGAAGTTGGAAACAAAAGGCTTCGTTGTTGATTGTGTTGATTAACTCGACCACAAATTTCAAAATAACTATGATCCAAAAAGATAGGCTACAAAGCCTACGACCTAATTATCAAGACCCTAATTTAAGTCCGGTTCTGATTTAGTAAGTTTGGTTCTAAGATTTTGGGCATAGACACAAACATCCTCACTCATATTTTTGGAAGAATTTTTTTTCAATGTTCCAGTATGGGATTTTTTTTCCCATTTGTCCTATTTATGTAGTTCCTTTTTTTTTTTTTTTTTTGACATCATTGCATTGACAAGGTCCGATCCATAGTCAATCCCTACTACGCGGGGTAATGCGATTTAGTGGAGTCGAACTCCGGTGAGCCCAATGAACTTAACCATTCGTCCCATTTATGTAGTTCAAGCAATCAACTTTAGACATTCATTTTTGACATACGAATACACTATTCTATAGTGCTCGCAACAAAGAATCCATCAGTTTTATAATCCGATTATTCCGTCAAAATGATTTTTCAAAAAATTGTCTGAAAAAGTAGTTTGTCACACTTGTTAAAAATGACTTCCAACAAATATGTTCATACACACATCCTCATTATCCTCTTGAACATTTCAATAGTTTCCAAACATTCATTTTCTTGTGGGTTTTAGATAAATGATCATGTGTATATATTTGTAAAAAAAAGTCTAAATTGTTCATATTTGATGATAAGTCAATATTTCCAAACATACAATAATTCGTCACGCGTTGATAGAATTTTTTTTTACAGCTAATACAGTAATTATAACTATTTATAAAAAAAGTTATATGCAATTATAAAAAAAGTTTCCTTGAAATCATAATAGTATTCAAAGTTATGTTTTTAGCATGTTCTTAAACAATATCAGTAAAATTTTATTTGTTTTGACCACATATTAATAATATTCGACACGCGTCGATAGAAAAAAAAAAGTTTGACCGCATTAATTGACTATATTTTTTTCTTAAATAAAACTTTAATAAGTTCTTATTTTAAATAACTAAAAAACATGTTTGTTCCTTAAATTTAAACAGAAAATTAATGACAAAATATAGAGTACCTAAATTTACTAAAAAATCTGTATTTTTTCTTTAATTTCTTAAGAGGTAATTTTTTTCAATTTTGTATATAAATACTTCTTGCTTGCTTGTAGTCTCATATACTCACCATCAGTGCTTCTTTTCACTATAACCATAGACAACGATCATCCTTATCCTCCATTTCTTTGAGTTGATTTTGATACCTTGATCCGTAAGCTACCGTAAACCTTACTCTTATTGATTAACAAATTTTCTCCATACAATATCCTCTTTCGTTAACTTTTAGGTGTAAAAACCAAATCTTTAAATTCTTTGTTTTTCTGCAGTCATGGAAGCCGATGGTCAGAAATACTCTGTTCTTGCGAAAACACAAGTCCGTGAGAAGATGATGAAAGAAATCGAACAGATCTCGGAAGTCTTCTCGGTTTCAAAATCCGACGCAACCGTAATCCTAATCTGTCTCCGATGGAACTCGTTTAAGGCTTCAGATCTTCTTGGTGACAACAAGAAGAAGTTTCTGGCGAAGTTAGGGCTGGTTCGAGTTTTCAATTCCAACTCTTCTTCTGCAGATCGTGAGACGACGTCCCTTTCTGCTGGTGATGGAGATTACTTAGTCTCCACGCCCTTTTGCTCACACAAGTTTTCAACAACTTGCTGGAGTGAATATCTCAGCGATGCTCTGGAGAAGAACAAGGAGGAGAGAGGACTCATCTCTTGCCTTAACCAAGACTGTGTCGCTTCCGTTGGACCCGATACGATCGAAAAACTCACTGAGCAAGTGAAGGTGATGTACGAGAATTATGCTCTCGAATCATTCATGGAGTGCCATAAGGGAACGATCAAATGGTGTCCTGCATCGGGGTGTGAATACGCTATCGAGCTTCAGGAGGATGGTAATGAAGATAATGTGACTGTGGTTTGTTTGTGCGGCCACACCTTCTGCTGGACATGCCGGCTTGAGTCACACCGACCGGTGTCTTGCAAAAAAGCATCAATTTGGTGGACGTACCTGTTGGATCAGTCAAGAAGCATTTCTTGGATCCATGCAAACACCAAACCTTGTCCCAATTGCAAGAGTCCTGTGCAGCAGAATGGTGATCCTGATTACAGGCTCATCACTTGTATATGCAGGTTTGGTTCGTTTCCTTTCTGTGCTTTAAAACATGTGCAAAATATTAGATCTTTAAAGTTTAAACTCATTCTTATGTTTTCTTTACTGTTATGCATCAGTCATAGCTTCTGTTGGATCTGCTTGCGCACGGAGGAAGACCATAATGGGAACTGGAACTGTGCTCCAGTCACTGTTCCAGCTGCGGATCCTACAACCGCCGAATTCTCTCACATTCTCCACCTGAATCTGTGGGAAGGAGGTCATGAAGCATTGGAGAAGGCTAAGTCCAAGCTGAGAGCCTTAGAGGAAAAAACCATTCCGAAACTAGTTGAGAATTGTGGATTGAGCGAGCTGGACATTAGGACAGTAAGAGAAGCAGGGATACTTAGTGTTCAGTGCAGGCAGGTACTGAAATGGAGCTGTGTTTTTGACTACTTCATAACCGAGTACGAAAGCACGAAGAAGCAGTACACGAAACACCTCATAGGTCAAGCGAGCGCAATGCTTTGTACGCACGAAGGGAAGCTTGATGAGTCGATGTATCGAGCCCTCTCAGGTGGAGATTTCACTTTCTTTAAGCACATGTTGGAAACCAGTACAACATACACTGGTAACTACTTCGATGCATTCATCAAGGATCTGGAAGATGGTAAGCCGCCTGAAGTGAAGGCTGATGCATATGAGGATGGACAAAGCAGTCACTGGTTCTGCGATAGGTGCACGTTTGAGAACAGCTGTGATGATAAACAGTGCAAGATGTGCTTTTACTCTCTGGGCTCTCCTCATGTGGCAGCAGCTCCTGAAGACCTTGGAAAATTGGAGTGAGAGTGAGTGATGAGTAAAGGACATGTCTCATCAGTGATTGATGCTGGTTTCGTTTTATGTTGGTGCTTCTCTTGTGTTGTTTTGGGTTTAAGAGTCTCCTTTGTTTGTCCTCTATGTGTTGGATCATCATCCATCATATTGGTTTAAGAGTCTTGTTGCATTTGTCTTTTAAGTCTTCTGTTGTTGTCGTTGTTGTCATGTTGTTAATTTTCTTATTGTTTGTTTGTGTCTATGTTTGTGTTTCATTGTTATGATATTTTTTGTAACATGAAAATGCAAATACAAAACTCAGAGAAACAATGATGTCTATTGAAGAACAAAAAGTGAATTTCAACCATACATCAAAAAGTATAAAAATATATTATTAGGAGAAAATAAATATAAAAAAAATCCGGTGGCTGAGAAAATTTAACGGTAATGTAATAACACTCTGCAACAGTATCTTCTTCCTCCACACTGACACATTTCGTCGAACACCTTTCGCTAATGTCAGTGAGCAAACTTCCTCATCTCTCCCATGGCGTTCACACTATCAACTTCCTCAATTTCACCAACGAACCAGTGTTTTTAAGTGTATTGCTCCCATGTCCCTCTCGGATTCGAGTATTCTCGACCATTTCCACCACCGGGATCGGCGGCGCTGGGGTCGCCAAGTGCCACGGAACGAGACATAGCGGCGCCGGTAGAGGTGATAACGGGTTGAGGAGCGATAGTGGATTAGGTTTCGACGAGAGAGGGGAGAGAAAAGTGCGTTGTGAGGTTGATGTGATCTCTTGGAGAGAACGGAGGATAAGAGGCGAAATCTGGGTCGATTCTGATTCTCAATCTGTTTGGAATGTTCTCACTGATTATGAACGACTTGCTGATTTCATACCCAATCTCGTTTGGAGGTACTTCACTCACTAATTCCCACTTTTTGTTCATTTTATCTACAGAATTCTTCTGAATAATCTCAAAAGATCCAATTTTGATGTAGTCTGGTTCATTTCATAGTGAATACAATGACTCTGATTCTCCAAGAGAATGCTGAATCTCCATGCTTAGTTACCTCACATTTGTTGAGTGCTGTATATGTTATGAATATTGAAGCTAACATGGCCTTGATGGTGATTGTTTCAACATCTAGTGGAAGAATTCCTTGTCCACATCCAGGACGTATATGGCTGGAGCAACGAGGCCTTCAAAGAGCCTTGTATTGGCATATCGAGGCTCGTGTTGTCCTTGATCTCCATGAGTGTCTAGATTCTGTGAGCACTCTTGTCTCTTGCTAAATGACGGGGACTAATTCTAAAACCTGAAAACTCTTCCGGATTTCTGTGCTCTTGTTTTTATGCATATTTCATCTTTTGTCAAGTATCAAGAGGTTGCCTTTACATTGTATGGTCTGTAATCATGATTAAATAGGAATTGCCTGCTTCTTCCCACTTTCTCTAGATCCTTATTCCTGAACTATTATTAGTTCGAGAAAAATAATCATAGTGAGGTTTACTTATTCGAAAATTCATGGTATTAATGAGTTCTCTTTCAGACTGCTTTGCACTCCTTGGATTGGGTATTTTGCTTAGGATTAGTTAATCGTTACACTGAGTTCTTATATTACCTTGTTTCTCAATCCATACATGTCTATTAATGTCGTTTCGTGCTGTTTTTCCTTTTATCGTTTTAGCCAAATGGCCGTGAGCTTCACTTTTCTATGGTAGATGGTGATTTCAAAAAGTTTGAGGGAAAGTGGTCTGTGAAATCTGGTATCAGGTACACTCATTATTCCCCATAAAAATTTTGTGTGCACATCCTATCATCATTGAAATCCTCTATAAATGTGTATCAGAGAAAATATTTCTTGAAACAATCTGTTATGCATTTCTAACCACGGATCATTTTGGAACCATCTATGTTCAGGTCCATAGGAACTGTCTTGTCATACGAAGTAAACGTGATCCCCAGATTTAACTTCCCTGCCATTTTCTTAGAGAGGATAATCAGATCAGATCTTCCTGTAAATCTCCGGGCCGTAGCTCGCCAAGCTGAGAAAATTTATAAAGATTGCGGAAAGCCGTCAATAATAGAAGATTTGTTGGGTAGAATATCTTCACAGCCAGCCCCTTCTCGTGGTGTTGAGTTCGAAAGTCTTGCTACTGAGAGATCTGTTGCCTCCAGTGTTGGATCATTAGCTCATTCAAATGAATTGAACAACAATTGGGGAGTGTATGGAAAAGTCTGCAAGCTTGATAAACCTTGCACCGTGGATGAAGTTCATCTTCGTAGATTTGATGGTCTATTGGTAAGAAGTTTAGTTCAAAACTTACTCTATATACTACGAAAAAAAAGATTTCCCATCTTTTGTGGTTATTAGTCAGTGGTTTTTTTCTTGGATGAAGGAAAATGGAGGTGTTCACCGTTGCGCCGTTGCTAGTATAACAGTTAAGGCTCCTGTTTGTGAAGTTTGGAAAGTTCTAACTTCTTACGAGAGTCTTCCAGAGTAAGTACCGAACACATATATTATCATATTCGGGCTGCACTGTTCTGACCTTAAGGAGGATTTTCTTGTCAATCTTCTTTAGATGTTGGTTTTGTTGGCTTATGTATATCTCTTTTTCTTCTGCGTTTTATTGGTTATGAACCTATCAGGATAGTTCCAAATTTGGCAATCAGCAAGATTTTGTCACGCGATAACAATAAGGTCCGAATACTCCAGGTATGAGCATTCTCATCCGCGGTAACCTTGTAATCAAATTTGGCAAGGACTAGAAATCATTCTACAAGTACTTGTATTGGGTACTAACACTGGAAAAAAATTATAAGAGATAGAATTTGGTTGCCAAAATATGACTCATAATTTGCTCTTTCATGATTCAGAAAGGCTCAGCATTTAGTCTGGTCTTGAAGATCGAAATTCTGACACTGGCCAAATCCAATGTTTCTTATCTTGAGTTCAAGAAATTATATAACTAAACTGAATCTGTTTGCAGGAAGGATGCAAAGGCCTGCTTTACATGGTGCTTCATGCGAGAGCTGTTCTTGATTTGCATGAGATTCGCGAGCAGGAAATCAGATTTGAGCAGGTTGAAGGAGACTTTGACTCGCTAGAGGGGAAATGGATTTTTGAACAATTAGGAAGTCACCATACACTTCTCAAGTATACCGTGGAGTCCAAAATGCGAAAAGATTCATTTCTTTCTGAAGCAATCATGGAAGAGGTTTGGTTAACAATTGAGTGTGTTCAGTGCCATCTTTTTTTCTTATTGTAACCACAATGTTACTCTGAAACTTTTCAGGTTATATATGAAGATCTTCCGTCAAATTTATGCGCTATTCGGGATTACATTGAGAAAAGAGGAGAGAAATCTTCAGAGTCATGTAAACTGGAGACATGTGAAGTTTCAGAGGAAACATGTTCTTCATCTCGTGCCACAACAGTTGAGACAGTTTACAATAATGATGATGGTTCGGACCGAACTAAGCAGAGACGGAGGATTCCCGGTCTGCAAAGAGACATTGAAGTATTGAAATCAGAGATTCTCAAGTTCATATCAGAACATGGACAAGAAGGATTCATGCCCATGAGGAAGCAGCTTCGGTTACACGGAAGAGTTGACATTGAAAAAGCCATTACAAGAATGGGTGGATTTAGGAGAATAGCTTTGATGATGAATCTTTCACTTGCTTATAAACACCGAAAACCGAAAGGATATTGGGACAATCTTGAAAACTTGCAGGAGGAGGTAAAGGTTCTAGACATGTTCACAAATTAAAACCATTGTTCCAATGGTGTTTACAAGAGCTTCTCCCTCTGCATGTGTTTGCAGATAGGAAGATTTCAACAGAGTTGGGGAATGGATCCATCATTTATGCCGAGCAGAAAAACGTTCGAACGCGCAGGTACAAAGAGTAAACTCTATTTAAGCTTTGTGTGTTCCTCTCAATCAGATTGGTCTGGGAAACGTTTGGTCTGTCGTTTCAGGTCGTTATGACATTGCGCGGGCGCTGGAGAAATGGGGAGGATTACACGAAGTGTCTCGTCTTCTAGCATTGAACGTGAGACATCCGAACAGACAGGTAAATTCTCGTAAAGACAACGGTAACACGATACTGAGAACTGAATCTACTGAGGCCGATTTAAATTCAGCGGTTAATAAGAAAAATGAACCTTACGTCTCTCAAGATACAGAGAAATGGTTGTATAATCTTAAAGATCTTGATATCAATTGGGTTCAATATTAAAGCATTAATTATGTACATTTCAATATTTGTGCAGTCTTGTAATTCGCAAAGATAAACATGTATTTATGTAAATTGCAACATTAGATTGAAATAATCTTGATCTCTTTTTAACTTTCTTTATATTTGTTTTTAGTGTTTATATTTAACTTAGATAAAGAAAAAAAAAAAAAAAAAAAAAAGTGAGAGAGCACCGAACAATCCAATAAGGAGGATAATAGCAAGGGACAAAGAAGTAAAGGCAAGTCAATGAAATTTGATAGTGATGGTTTTAAGAAAAAACAAAAGTTCCATCATTGTCTTCCTTCAATGTGAAATGAAATTACACGTAATTAGAAACAAACTTCTTTCTAGGTTTTAGATTCTTACAGAAACCAAGTTTCAGAGGTCTTGACTCGTGACTGAAGAGAAAGGGTCAAGATGTTTTGATGTGAATTGTGATGTGACTATGTGAAAAGGGAATAAAATCGAGATTTAAAAAGGGGAAAACAGTAGAAAATATAAAATGCAGGCATAAATCTAGAAAAGAAAAGGGTTTAAAGGTTAACTATCAGAAAATCTTGAATCATTGTACTCTATAAAATAGCTCTATGTTATGAAAATGGGGACCTTCCTCTAAATTTAGACAAACCCTCGAACAGCTAAAGAAACATATGTAAACAACATTTTTCTTTTTCTCATATAGATTAATCAGGAGAAATGAAGAAAATGTAGCTTTCACTTCAGGATCTACAAATGGACAACAAATCCCATTTCACAAGAACTATCAAAGAAGATAGCCAAAAAAAAAAAAGAGTAGAATTAATTAGTAAGAATGTGATATGTCGGTTGGGGGGAATGAAGCCTGGTCCGAGAATCATTTAGGGTTTTCATTCTTTAAGATGAATCAATCTAATGATCTTCTTCATGACCTCGAGCCAGACAACATTCCTCTCAACCCTAAACCAAAGGAGGATAACTTTCTGTAAGTAGACAGAAGAAAGAAGAAGAAGAGGCTAAATAGGTGTATGTGTGAGACGAGTCTTTATATATATAGGAGAGAGGAGCAAATGACCACAAGACCAAAATTTTCATATTTACTTCTCTTACATTAATTTAGTAAATTTTTTGGGTTTTGGTTACTGTCTTAATATAGTGTGTGTAGGGTTGCCTTATATAGAAGTTTACAGTGAAATCCAGAGTTGTAAAGATAAAAGTAAAACATACTCCATTTGTACATTCAAACTTTTCCTCCATGTATATATCTTCATTTGTCTTTAGTTGTTTCTTAAATTTCCTTCTTTTCCGAGAGGTCAACAGTAGTTTAATCTCTCTACATTTTGTTGGTTAATTAATTGGTTCTCTACTTTAACAAAAAGAAATTGTATGTGGTAAACGAGATCCAGAAATCCTAAAATATATCTATACTAATAATACATAGACAAGACATGTAACATAATTGTTTTTGTTACCACACATATTGCCTCTTCATTCAGTAGCTACTGTACATAATCATAACAAGTACTGTTATAAAATCTCAAAAGTGTAACTTTGAGTAAATTGGAGACAAGTACCATGATTTCTATCTCATTATTGCCTTATTATTTCTTTTGGATCTCTCTCAATGAACTCCTACTTTTTGCACACAAAAAAAAAGAACTCCTACTTTTTCTGTTCTTTTTATTCTAAATTATAATCAGAATTCTAATTGTACACAAGTATATATTCAAAAATATGTTTCATTTAACTTGTACTATATCTATATGTGTTTTATATCTTTATATATATGGGTGCATTGGCTTATATAGGTGGTTCATGACGACTTCACGAACATATGCATTGATTGTTGTGAAAATGACAAAACATTGTTTTGGTCTTTACCTCGGTACGTCCAAATTTTTCCTATATATACTAGATCGCTTTTTAAATTTTACATACCAGACTATTCTAAAATTCAACAATAAAACATTTTCTTGTCTTTATTATTGGTCAACATACTATGTATTTGAATTTTTTTATTATTTAACTAATTATTTAACTTAGTATAAGTATATAGTAAAGTTATAATTTAGCTATAGCTGGACAACAAAGTGAGACAGACAACGTTGGAAAAATTTGATAAGACCACATAAAAATAAGAAGGATAATGGGAAAGAGCAAATAAAAGGCACGTAAAAGATATTTGACAGTGACGGTTTTAAGAAAATTAAAGTCTCGTCGTTGTCTTCAATATGAAATGAAATCTATATATATAATGGGAGAGTTTTTCTCCATCTAAGGTGTCCACATAGGCGACACATCAGCGTACACGTCATCATACATTTTTAATAGGTATAAAATGTTACCAAAAAGATTCGAACCCCTTACCCAATACATTTAATAGGTGCATTTCAAACCAAATTGCCATTTAAATCGTTTTGATTGATATCAAAATTTAAATTATATATATGACTTTATAAAACTTCCACTCAATTTATTTATTAAACGAAGAAACATTAAAAAAAAATTCACACACTTTTATATTATCATCTTTTAATAAAAGAAAATATTTTTTCATAAACAATAACATTGTTTAATATAAATAAAAAGTAATATAATATAACACACAAAAATATGTGAATAGAAGTTAATATACAAATAGATAATTCAAAAATAGAAGTTAATGAATTAATAAAACACAGCACAAAAATATATAAGATAAAAATATGAATAAAAATTAGAAGCATATAGATAATTTTCAAATACATATAATTTATATATGAGAAGTAGAAAACAAAAAAATATGTTATCATGCTAGAAAGACATTAACCTTTTCAAGAGTTATAAAATATTTAGATTAAAAAAAGTTTATATGATAGTAAACTATAGAATTTAGATTACACGAAATAAGAATATCTATTTTTCAAGAAAAAAGTATGTATCCAAAATCAAGATAAAATATATATAAAATTGAATAATATATTTAAGGAAAGAATTGTGATTTAAAAGTACAATTAGATACAAGATTTCTTTAAACAATAACGTTAGAGTGCAATGTTTCATGGAAAATGCAATGCATGAGAATAGGAAGAATCCAAATATAAAATTTAATATGTAGGAAAAAGAACATTTTATAATAGACAAGAAAAAATAAAATATAAAAATGAAATAGATAAAGAGAATATAATTTTAATATAAGTTTATAATGAATCAAAAATTTAATCAATTATTTTAACGAAAAGAACGTGAAAAGAGATAAAATGTCGCGAGGTGGACGACTGCATATTAGAATATGACGAATAAAATGACAGCGAAATAATTTCAAGAGAAATTGACTAAATTCAAAAAAATGTATGAACATGACATAGTCGATATTGTATTATATTTCTCTGAATTTTTTTAACTAATTTTTTACCACGTGTTACCTAAAAATTTGTTGTTTTTTTCAAGAGAAACATTATTCTCCATATTTGATTTCTCGACGTGCAAATTCAAAAGCGGATAATCTGGCACGAAATGTTCGTACTAACCGCATCTAATTACCTATGTAAACAATATCCCCCAAAATTGGCTTGTATAAGCTAATCTAATAAAGTTGTTGACAAAAAAAAAACATTATTCTCAATAAAATCTATGTTATATATCATTATAGATTTATCTTTTAAAATTCAATATATATATATATATATATATATATTTATATTCACGGCTTATATTGTTAATAGTTTATAAGTAAAATCCCGCGCATTCCGCGGGGTCACAAATCTAGTCTATATATATAATGAGAGAATTTTCTCTCCATCTAGAGTATCCACATAGGCGACACATCAGCGTACACGTCATCATACATTTTTAATAGGTATAAAATGTTACCGAAAAGATTCGAACCCCTTACCCAATAGATTTAATAGGTGCATTTCAAACCAAATTGCCATATAAATCGTTTTGATTGATATCAAAATTTAAATTATATATATGACTTTATAAAACTTCAACTCAATTTATTTATTAAACGAAGAAACATTAAAAAAAAAAATCACATACTTTTATATTATCATCTTTTAATAAAAGAACATATTTTTTCATAAACAATAACATTGTTTAATATAAATAAAAAGTAATATAATATAACACACAAAAATATGTGAATAGAAGTTAATATACAAATAGATAATTCAAAAATAGAAGTTAATGAATTAATAAAACACAGCACAAAAATATATAAGATAAAAATATGAATAAAAATTAGAAGTATATAGATAATTTTCAAATACATATAATTTATATATGAGAAGTAGAAAACAAAAAAATATGTTATCACGCTAGAAAGACATTAACCTTTTCAAGAGTTATAAAATATTTAGATTAAAAAAAGTTTATATGATAGTAAACTATAGAATTTAGATTACACGAAATAAGAATATCTATTTTTCAAGAAAAAAGTATGTATCCAAAATCAAGATAAAATATATATAAAATTGTATAATATATTTAAGGAAAGAATTGTGATTTAAAAGTACAATTAGATACAAGATTTCTTTAAACAATAACGTTAGAGTGCACTGTTTCATGGAAAATGCAATGTATGAGAATAGGAAGAATCCAAATACCCCTTTTGGTGTGCCCCTTTTCAAAAATGCCCCTTTTAGATGTCCATTTTCAAAAATGCCCCTTTTTAAATCTGAAATTTTTATAAAGTTTTATTAGGTTTATAAGGTACTTATGGATTGTAACTACTACTTGAAGACTCGATCCAAGTATTTATAAGGTTTTATAAGGTGTTTTTAAATGTTTTACAAGTTATTTTAAAGGATTTTTAAGGTTTTTCAAAGGTTTTACAAGATATTTTAAAGGTTTTTAAAGGTATTTAAAATGCATTTATAAGGTATTTCTAAAGTATTTATAAGATTTTAGATACATAGAAATGTAGTTTGTGTATGTTATAATAATATTACATACATATTTGGGTAAATCTTATATTTTTAAGAGCATTTTTTATAAGGTTTTTAAAAAGGGGTATTTTTGAAAAGTGACATTGAAAAAGTGGCATTTTGCAAAAGCCCCTAAAATTTAATATGTAGGAAAAAGACATTTTATAATAGACAAGAAAAAATAAAATATAAAAATGAAATAGATAAAGATAATATAATTTTAATATAAGTTTATAATGAATCAAAAATTTAATCAATTATTTTAACGAAAAGAACGTGAAAAGAGATAAAATGTCGCGAGGTGGACGACTGCATATTAGAATATGACGAATAAAATGACAACGAAATAATTTCAAGAGAAATTGACTAAATTCAAAAAGATGTATGAACATGACATGGTCGAGATTGTATTATATTTCTCTGAATTTTTTCAACTAATTTTTTACAACGTGTTACCTAAAAATTTGTTGTTTTTTTCAAGAGAAACATTATTCTCAATAAAATCTATGTTATATATCATTTTATAAATAGGTTTATGTCATTATAGATTTATCTTTTAAAATTCAATATATATATATATATATTTATATATATTTATATTCACGGCTTATATTGTTAATAGTTTATAAGTAAAATCCCGCGCAATGCGCGGGGTCACAAATCTAGTTACACGTAATTAGAAACAATCTTCTTTCTGTGTTTTAGATTATTACAGAAACCAAGTTTCAGAGATCTTGACTCGTGACGGAGAAAGAGAGAGAGCGCGTTAAGATGTGAACTGTGACGTAAAAAGCGAAGAAGAAAAAGATATATAGAATTCAATCTTGAAAAGCATGCATAAACCCAAAAAAGAAAAGGGTCTGATATTGAAGTAAAATATCATTCAATCTTGAATATCTCTAATGTTCTCAGTTTATATGTACACATATATGTATATAGAGCTCTATAATATGATAACTAAACAAAACCAAAAAACAACGACAGTTTCCTTTCTCATGTAGTCATGTAGAATTAATCTAATAACAAGATCAAAACTTATCTCGCTCGCAAGATAGATCAAATATGAAACAAAGACAACAAAAAACTAAAGGAAGAAAGTGGGCAAAAAGTGATAAGTCGGTTAGGGGGAATGAAGCCTGGTCCGAGAATCATTTAGGGTTTCTTAATTCGTTCTTCCAAATTAATTGGAGTGATATCCTCTCCTTCATGACCTCGAGCCAGACAACATTCCTCTCAACCCTAAATCGCACCACAATAATTAAAATCAACACTAGCTAGAAGGTTATCAAGAAGAGAAAAGAGAGACCACACAGTCAAAAGGAAATGTGAATGTGATGAAAATTTATGTAAGATGAAAGACGAAAAGAAAAGAGACCAAAGTTAAAGATGATGTGAATGTGATGAAACTTTTTGTAAGAAAGGTAAGTGTGTGAGACAAAATAAATCCAGGTCTTGTATATCCCATATATATAAACAAAGAGAGAGGAACAAATGACCACAACCCCAAGATTTTTCTTGATTTTTTTTTTGTCTTTTATTTACTTCTCTTACGTTAGTTTACTAAAACAAAATTGAATTGGAAGAGTCTTGATTAAATTTTGGCTACTGTCTTTAGTATATGGTTACCTAAAAAACAGAGTCATACGACCAATTGCCTGATTTGGGTGTGAAATGTACAAAAACAAAGTTGAAGGCGAATTTGAAAAATAGGAAAAAAGAAGTGGAAGGACCGATTTCCAAAAACCATCTCATTCTAGAGACTTTCAATAACGGGAAGACGTAGCATTCTCGCTGTCCATCAGTTTCTTCTTCCATCTTCTTGATCATCATATGTGATTCCATTTACAAGTTCAATCTCTTCATGAAAAATCCAGTCTCTTTTCAAACGGAAGAAGAGGAAGAATCCTCATTTAACCATCTAAGTTCTTCTCCTTTATCACATTTCCTTTTGATTTCTACAAGAGAAAATGTTGACTAGAGCCATCGGACGAGTTCGAATTCCTGTGTCGAGGATTCAGGGATCGAATAATTCGAGTGGGTTTTTGAAAGATTCGAAATTGGGTCCGATTGGTGTTTCCTGTAGAAGATGGTTATCGAACGAGAGCGGGAAACGCTTTGCGGCGATGTGGGGAAGTGGAGATTACGGCAGATTAGGGCTCGGAAACTTGGATTCTCAGTGGACACCTGCCGGTTGCTCTGCCTTGAGTGATCACAGTATCAGAGCTGTTGCTTGCGGTGGAGCTCACACTCTGTTTCTCACCGGTGATTTCTTCATCCCCCGACTTGCTTTATGATTTTTATTTGATGATTATTAATAAACTTTGAAATCTTAAGAAGTTGCAATGTGATTTGGTGTGTGGTAATAAAAGTAGAGGGAGAAGAATTGTGTTGACTATTGAGCTGAGAAATCCGGAGAATTGGCATCTCAATGACTTGCTGAGATTTGAGTCATTTTGGTATACACCATTTGTAGCTATGATCTTGATCGTTCTAGCTGCAAATATCAGAAGTATTAGAGTGGTCTTCGTTGGATAGCATTTTCTTGGCTTTGTTTAATTGGGCATGTTGTTGTTGAGTTCGGTTTTTGTAAAGTTTTCATCTTTGAATCAATGATTGGTTTTGAAGAATTTCAGCAGTATCTGATTGTCAGCTTACACATGTGACAGAAACGAGGAGAGTCTTTGCAACGGGTCTTAATGATTGTGGTCAACTTGGCGTATCAGATGTTAAAAGTCATGCTATGGTATGTTAGTAATTGGTAGGTTGGTCAAAACACTATAGGGTTGCTGGCTTTTTCTTTTCTTTTCTTTCACATGTCTTTATCTCAGAGAATTCAATTATAATTGATGTTTTTGAATGTTGTTATAGGATCCGCTTGAAGTTTCTGGACTAGATAAGGATATTCTGCACATCTCAGCTGGTTATTATCACTCCGCTGCTATTACAGGTAAACAACAAGTAACCACAATGTTCTTCTTAAATTGTCATGACCTGAACCTGAAACATTATCTTCTTGATATAGTATGTCACTCGTAGTTGGCCTCATATTTGCTCTCTTTCATTTCATTAGTTGATGGAGAACTATACATGTGGGGAAAGAACTCAAGTGGACAGCTTGGACTGGGAAAAAGTATATCACTTTTCCATTCAATCGTTTATGCACTGTTATTCATGTCCTATTACGTAAAGTTCCTTGCTCTATTTACATGTTCTTTTCCTTTCTATATTTTTTCCTATGAAGAGGCTGCAAGAGTGGTACGTGTACCAACTAAAGTGGAAGCTCTGCATGGAATCACCATACAATCCGTGGCTTTGGGTTCAGAGCATTCAGTTGCTGTTACTGGTTTGGATCCTAGATCTTATCTGGATACAGAAGAAAACACCTTTTCTTTTCTTTTAAGTATTCGGAGAGAGAGCTAAGGGTACCTTTATCTTTTTCTTGAGCAGATGGAGGTGAAGTCCTGAGTTGGGGAGGAGGGGGCTCTGGAAGACTTGGCCATGGTCACCAGTCCAGTCTTTTCGGCATCTTAAGAAGTAACAGGTTGGTCTGTTTTACTTAATTCCAATATAGTTTTGTCTCTTTCTCATGCATTTTTTACTCCCAAGAATTTTCGCATTTCCTCCTTTACTTTATCATGATTCCTTTGTAGTTTTCTTGTATTGCGCTGTAAAGTATCCCCCTGATTGCAGTGAGTTTACTCCAAGGCTTATCAAGGAACTTGAGGGGATCAAGGTAATCTAGTGGTGAAGAATATCCACCTTCGATGAAGAGTTTCCTGTATTCTAGTGGTGGTTTTAATCTTTAGACTTTCATGCTTATGTTTTTCTGTTCTTTCTGTCGAGCACTAGGTTAAAAATGTTGCTGCTGGTCTACTGCATTCAGCATGCACTGATGGTATTGATTTTACTTTCTTAAAAGTATGAATGTTGTGCCATTTACCGACTTTATGAGGTTTGTTTGCAAATAATGCAGAGAATGGCTCTGCTTTCATGTTTGGAGAGAGGTCTATAAACAAGATGGTAAGAAAATGTATTTTTCCTTGATTTTTATATACAGTTATGTAAAGCTATCTGATGGGAAAATACAGGGCTTCGGAGGAGTAAGAAATGCCACAACACCATCAATTATCAGTGAAGTTCCATATGCAGAAGGAGTTGCATGTGGTGGCTACCACACATGTGTAGTTACAAGTAATACTCTCTTATTAATGAGCGCTTTCTTTGCTATTGAGTTTGCTTGTGTATACTGCAAATGCCTCTCCTGCTCAAATTTCTTTTCCTTGTTCTTTATAGAGGCCCAAAACTGCTTTTTATTTTCTGCTAAATATATGAACATATTGTCTTTGTAAGATGGTCGATAGCAACTCATCCTTTGTTGTTTCCTTCGTGTTTGCAAGGAGGTGGGGAGCTTTACACCTGGGGCTCTAACGAAAATGGGTGCCTTGGAACAGAGTAAGTTATATACCCCGAAAAATTAGGATGTTCCCCCATAAGAATTAAGATCTGAAAACAAGGTTCTTGCACTGTACCTATACTCTTGTTTCAAAATTTTCAGTTCAACATATGTCTCACACTCACCTGTGAGAGTTGAAGGTCCTTTCTTGGAGTCTACTGTATCTCAGGTATCTTGTGGGTGGAAGCACACTGCAGCTATTTCAGGTAGCATCTCTTTTAAGTAAAACATATTTGTTTCCTTCTCATTGTGCAAGTTATTCAACTCAATTTCTGAAATTTGTTTGCAGATAACAAGGTCTTCACCTGGGGCTGGGGAGGCTCTCACGGCACATTCTCTGTTGATGGACATTCCTCTGGTGGACAATTGGTTTGTTTCATCATCTTATCTTATTGATCAAATCTCTGAAACAACATTACTCTGACAAATTTAACTTCTTATGAGAAGGCGAAATCATTTAATAGTTTTTCCAAGTCTCGAAGAGAATAAATATGGTATGTTCAATATGTAGGGCCATGGTAGTGATGTAGACTATGCAAGACCAGCAATGGTGGACTTGGGCAAGAATGTAAGAGCAGTGCATATATCTTGTGGCTTCAATCATACAGCAGCAGTTCTTGAACATTTTTGAAGACTCAGTCTCAATTTCATATCATATACAGATGTTTTGTTTATTCTTGCTTAAACTTGAGTGAGGAGATTGTACATCAGTTCAACTCTATAGACAGAAGTCACAGAACCTTGTGGAACTGGATTTGTAAGAATGACCGAAAGGATAATATATATACAGGAGAAGAAGACGAATAAAAGTGCAAATTCAACACTGATATTCTAACATTTCTTGTAAAATGAGTCTGTTACTTTGAACAGCAAAACATTGAATCCTGTAAATCCTTAATACAAAAGCTTGAATACAAATGTGGAGAGAATGAAAACATCAACACTTGTCTCCTTTATTCCAAGTCAAAAACTTCAACGAATGAATCTGTTTTCTCCGTACTATCTCTCACACTCACAATGATCACAATGCATCAGCAGTACAGCCTAAAGCATTGCCCTTGTTTTTTTTCGTTATTGTCAACAAAAGAAGAAGAGAAGTATTAAGCATATGAAAGAGATGAATCAATAATCCCTTAAGCTGCCGACTCTTTAGCGATCTTCTCTGCCTTTGCAACCACCTCATCGATACCTCCAACCATGTAAAACGATTGTTCGGAAAGATCATCGTACTTGCCATCCAACAAACCCTGAAACAAACACAAGATGATTTGGGTCAGTTATTCTATATATTCCATTTGATAACAACAAATTTATCTATGGCAGAGTCATCTAGACATAGACATCACATAGGAGTCTTCTATACTGAAAGCCAGTTGTAGCTCAACTTCAAATCCACAAACATGTTAAGGGAGCATTGAAAGCTTTTAGGAACTTACAGCAAAATGTTTCAAAATCATATGATTATAGCAAAAACTTGTTGTGTGTATCATACCTGGAAACTGTTAATGTTTTCTTTAAGGTCGACATATTTTCCAGGGGCACCAGTAAAGATTTCAGCAACATGGAATGGCTGACTCAAGAATCTCTGGATCTTACGGGCACGGGCAACAGTCAGCTTGTCATCTTCACTTAGCTCATCCATACCCAAAATGGCGATAATATCTTGCAAGTTCTTGTAGTTCTGTAGCACTTTTTGCACACCACGAGCAGTGTTGTAGTGCTCCTCACCAAGAATGTGGGGCGAGAGCATACGGGACGTCGAATCCAAAGGATCCACAGCAGGATAGATACCAAGCTCAGAAATCTACACATAGGAAAGAAAAAGTACAAAGATGACAGCTTTATGAAGTATTACAAGAAATGCAGAACTATATTGAAAAGAAGCATCAGAACGAGAAAGTTCACACCTGTCTTGAAAGCACAGTTGTGGCGTCCAAGTGAGCAAATGTTGTGGCAGGAGCAGGATCTGTCAAATCATCAGCAGGGACATAGATGGCTTGGACTGAGGTAATTGAACCTTTCTTGGTGGTTGTGATTCGCTCTTGAAGAGCACCAAGATCAGAAGCCAGAGTTGGCTGGTAACCCACAGCAGACGGGATACGACCGAGCAAAGCAGACACTTCAGAGTTGGCCTATACGAGAGAGTATTTTAGCTCATGCTTATGGCACAAAGGTGCTGAAAATATATAACAAAATAAGGCTCACCTGGGTGAAACGGAAGATGTTGTCAATGAAAAGCAAGACATCCTGGCCTTCAGCATCACGGAAATACTCGGCAACAGTCAAACCAGTCAGTCCAACACGAGCACGGGCACCCGGGGGCTCATTCATTTGTCCATACACTAGAGCACATTTGCTCTCGGACTGTTAAGACAAGAAAAATGATAGAATTGAGCAACAAAAATCAGTTAAATTCCATTTGCAGGAAAAACAAAGGTGAAGACTAATCCAACTGAATTGAAAACCTGCTTCTCGCCTAGCTTGATGACACCACTCTCAATCATTTCTCTGTACAAGTCATTGCCTTCACGGGTTCGTTCTCCCACACCAGCAAACACAGAGAAACCACCTTTTCAACAGAAAAAGAACCCATTAATAAATTGAAACAGATACTAACACGATTAGGAGAACTTGTGCTAAACAGACCATGAGCTTTTGCAACATTGTTGATCAGTTCCATAATAAGCACAGTTTTCCCAACACCAGCTCCGCCAAAGAGACCAATCTTTCCTCCTCTTTGGTAAGGAGCAAGAAGATCAACAACCTGAAAAGAAAAGAAAAAAATTATATCCTGGTAACACGAAAGACAACACATGTGACCTGTGGAAAGAGTGCGAAGCTAGGACCCAGAACCTACCTTAATACCAGTGGCCAGGATCTCTTGCCCAGTAGCTAGATCAACCAAAGCCGGTGCATCTCTGTGAATAGGTAAGTAATGTTCGGTCTCTGACCAACAGCAAGAACTTATTGTCATGAAAAGTTTGCAGAATGTGAGACATAATTAAGTGTAGCTAAGACTTCTTACTAATTTCGCCTCTCTCGTCAATGGGTTCTCCAAGAACGTTCATGATACGTCCAAGGGTAGCTCTTCCAACAGGCACCTGAAAAGGTGAAAACAAGCAAAATGTCATATTTTTGTTATCCCAACGTAGACACCTGGAAGAATATTAAGAGCAGTATCAAAGAAATGATTGGTCATCCAAAATCACGAAATCATCTGGACATAGAGGAGTTCTTTGGAAATGAACAAACTTTTGACAAAAAAAAAGAGTAATTGGGAAAAGTCAACGTTGAAGATAAGGAAAACACAGAACAGAGACCGGCGAGACTAGGCCAAATCCAATCAACGAATTCACAGATCTATACTCAATATTGGCTGCTTTTACGGATCACAGACCCAAAATGAAGGATCTATACAGAGAAGCTACTTACAGTGATTGGAGCACCAGTGTTGAGAACTTTCCTTCCACGGACAAGACCCTCAGTACCATCCATAGCAATGGTCCTGACGACATTTTGACCCAAATGGTGGGACACCTCAAGTACCAGCCTTGTGGGGTGATCCTGCACCTCGAGAGATGTCATGATTGGAGGCAATCCTTCCTGATCCTCGAATCTCACATCAACAATGGCACCGATGACTTGGCAAACACGCCCGATCGCACCTTTGCCACCGTAATCATAGGTCTTCTTCCCCTCATCCTTAGCAGGAGCAGAGGATGGCGCAGCTGAGCTTGCCGGTGAAGAGGTGGCGTACTCGGCGACGCGACCGAGGAGGTAGCTACATGGAGCGGCGTGACGCGCGGGTGAAGGAGAAGGAAGCCTGGGGTTACGGTTGCCTAGTTTGGCAGCAGATCTGCCGGAAGAAGAACGGAGAAGAGATGATAAAACTCTCCGAGACGCCATGAGTGGGTGTGTGTGTGTGGAAGAGGAAATGCTAGCTAGGGTAACTACAGCACCTGATTCTAAGCTCAAACTTTCCAATGTTTGGTGGGCTCAGATAATGGGCTTATTTTGAATAAACTATAAATGATAATGGGTTTAGTTATTTGGGCCTATATCATAATACCAATATATGCAAGAAAACTAAAGGATAATAAAGAGGAGATTTGACCTTTGGGGAATTTGTTGAGCTTTGTAATCAACAGCTCAAAATACAAAATATACATGTTGGGTTAGTTGACCAAAAAAAAATAAAAAAGTTGACCAAAAAAAAATATATGTTGGGAGGTCAATGTTTTTTTTTTTTTAAGGTCAGTGCTTGATTAAGCCAAACACTACTATATTTTTTATGGTTTCAAAATTCCCAAGTTGCTGTCCTTTAATGATCTTGAAAAGGACAAAGATAACCTTTTTTTTTATTTATTTGCACAATATAAATACAAAATGATAATGTATTTTTTTCAAATAAAAAAATCAACATGATTTTGTAAGGGTGAATTTGCTCTATAACCATAATACAATCTCAAATTAAGAATATAGCACTATATTCAAAAATATTAAGAAAGTAACATAAGGGACAAGGGAAAAGACTAAACTAGTGTCGAGATGAAGCACCAGAGGAGAAAGACATTCAGCTGAGGTGGCAGAAAAAAGCTCAATCGTTGGAGTTCAAGGATGAGGGGCAGGAGAGAGAAATATATTTTTTCTTTACCCCTTTTAATTGTAACTCAATTTTCTTTGTTTTAATAAAATTTTCAAAGTCATGATTCTTCTATAAAAAATCTATATACTTTTCTGAATGTATCATGATTTAAATTTTTTAAAACAGATAAGTTTATGAAAAAGGTGGTTAATGATAAAAATTTAATGTCTAAATAGAATTACATAAAATGAAATTGTATAGAGTAAAATAAAATGTAATTGCATAATATGTTATTACTAAGAATAATTTATTAATTTTTCATAAATTTGTGTTAAACGTACATCGGAAAATAAACACTATATCCTAAGAGATACAATATAGGGAACCCAAATACCGAATTAAAGGCATGACAGAAATTATATTGTTATATCTTTAGGAATAGTACATATGAAACCTAATCTACCAAGTTAAACTTTAGAATCTAAATGAGATAGTATAGAATCTAATAAAATAGTATAGAACGAAACATTTTTAATAAAATGTAAGTAGTGGTGGTGGTGATGGTAATAACTCGGTGATGGTGATGGTGACGGTATGGTGGTGATGACATAGTTGTGGTAGTGTTGGTGGTGATATAGTGGTGGTGATGGTGACGTCGGTGGTGGTTGGGACAACGGCGATGGTGGTGGAGGTAGCAGTGGTGGTGGTGACTGTCATGGTGGTTGCGGCGGTGGTGGTAGTGATAGTGATAGTGGTGATGGTGACGTTGTGGTGATTGCTGTGGTGGTGGTGACGTTATGGTGGTCGTTATGGTGGTGACGGCATGGTGGTGAAGATGATGGTAATAGTGGCGGTGATGACGTGGTTGTGGTGGTGACAACATGGTAGTGGTGATGGTGACGTCATCATAGTCGCAATAGTGGTGGTGGTGACGTTATTGTGGTCGCGGTGGTGGTGGTGGTAACGAAGATGATGGTGGTGGTTGTAGTAGTGATGGTGCGCCATGGTGTTCGCGGCGATGGAAGTGGTGACTACAATAACGTGGCAATGGTGGTGGTAGTGTAATAGAGTCATGTTAATTTATTTAGAAATTACAATTTTATATAGAGTAGGGTTAAAATTGTCAATAATACATGTAACCTACACAATATCATAGTTCTATGGTTAGAATAGTTAGATAGTGAATTAAAGCTTTTTTCTTGGTTATACAGCCAAATTT